TTTCATTCTTCCCCAAGAGCTAACCTTTCTATTCCCCTTCCTTTCTCTATCCCTTCGATAACTTTTCTACCAATCCAAGGTTGTCCCATGCATCTTTGCTATTACAAGCTTCACTTTTCTTTCTTCATTCATTTCCTTTTAATCAAAATAATTTCAAATGCCGCTCAACCAATCTAGAAACTCTTCAGGTTCCAACCAGTGTTTTAAAAGCGCAAGGCGCAAAAAAGGCGCAAGGCGAGGTGCACGCCTTTTTGAAGCAAGGTGCAAAAATACAAAAAAAAATGCTAAAACATCAAAAACAAATGTCAGAAAATTCAAAACAAATGCCAAAAATTCAAAAAAAAACAAAAAATATTAAACATAATATTAATAAAAAATATAAACTTAAAACTTAAAATAATCTTTTAAAAAACCTATTATCTAAAATTAAAAATAAATAAACATAAGATGTAAAGCATATTCAAATGAGAATTGAAAAAATAAAATCAAACATAAAAAACATTTTCAAGCATGTAAAACCAATAGTCTCTTTTATCACTCAATTGCATTACTTCAAGTAACTAATATAATGTAAAACATATTACATTCCTGATTCTACGAGCCGCCTTTGTGCCACACCCCTCAAGGCAAGCCCAAACAAGTCCACGTTAGGTTTTAAATTCTTAGTTTTCACACAAAAAAAAATGATTTTATAGTTTTAATTGCTTTTTAAGAAGACATTTTATTAGCTAATGTAATGTAATGTAACATGGACTTGTTTGGGCTTGCCTCGAGGGGTGTGGCATGGGGGTCCGGGGGCGGAGCCCCCAGCCCAGCCGCTATGTTCAAAAAAAAACAAAAAAGCGTCAAATTCTCAAAAGGTGCACGCCTGGGCTGAGGCGCAAGGTGCATCAAGTGCATGCCTAGGCACACCAGGTGTGCGCCTTTTGAAAGGGTTGCGCCTAGGACCTAGGCGAGGCACATACCGTGAAATGCGCCTCGCCTGTGCGCCTAGGCACGCCTGAGGCGCGCCTTCTTGTGACGTTATTCAAGGTTCGACCAATACTTTGTCAACCTTAACAACAGAATCGGTCTTTGAGGACTGTCCCCTCTCTGGAGTTTCTGTACATAGCGGCAAAGTGGAGTGCTGCCCCTCTAAACCAATTTGTTGAACCAGCTGGGCCATGGGAAAGTCTTCAGTTGTAGGAAAAAGAAAACTTTGTGCATCGCCCATCCATTTTGAAGTCTTTGCCGCACCCTTGTCAGTCTGTGACAAAAATAAGGGAGATGAGAAATCTTCATTATGGGTGTTGCTGAATCCATCTGTTTTCAATTGTTTTTCCCCCTGAACTGCTTGCTTTCCATTGGTTTTCCCATCTTTGGAAGCCATAATGTCCTCTTCCAAGAACAGTTGTACAGTATTTAAACTCTCCTCCCCTTCCAGATCATTAATCCCAACTAAGTCTACTCTGCCAACATTTACTATGTCGTCAGTATCAGAGTCAGTTTCTATTTCCTCCTTTGTCAAGAAGTCTTGATCAAGAGACTTCAAAGACCTGCGTCGCTCACACCTGGGATTCCTTCACTCCGGTGAGAGGCAAGCAGTTTTCTCCACTGGACGCCACTGCAAAGAGATTTTCATTGGGCTAGAACTCTTCGAACTGCTGTCAAAGAACGAGGAAGAAGGAGATAGACCTTTACCAAGGTCTAGTAAAGGTCCACCTCCACTCATGTGAGTACTTAAGTGAGCATGTGCGAGTTGAAGGGGTTTTGATGGGCCCAAACCACACAGCTCATTCTTTGCACTCAAGTAGTCCTATTTTTGGTGGGCTCAAGCCATTCGGCCCATTCATATGTATAGCTGGATTCGGGTCCTGATCCAAAGATAGCCTAACCAACTCTTCAAGCCCACCAGAGCTCACCTGATTTCTTACGGGGTTTTCCAAAGCAAGAAGCGCATCTTCTCGGCAAGCCAACTCTTCTGTCAACGGTTCAGACCTTTGAAAGGTATCAATATTCAAGCCTTCGGGCCAGCTGGGCTCGAATTCTGACTTTCCAGGCTTCCAGTCACATTCTGAGGGCTCATATTCTGCTTGCCTGTTTTTGTAAAACTTCTGAACTTCTTTAAAGGTATTCAATTTTCTTTGGGGAACATGGATGCCTACAATGCTGCTCATGGATAAATTGGCTCTTAAACCTACGATAGCCTCAAAGCATATCTCCAAATCCATTTTCCCAAGAGAGCTTTGTTTAGAGATCTAATCCTTCTAACCCCAAATCCCCCATGCTCTTAGGTCTACAAACCTAGTCCCATTTAACCAAATGATCCTTCCTCCTCTGGTTCCAGCCCATAAAACATCAATTTGAATTTTCTCTTATCTCTTCTGCAATGACAGCTGGAATTTTTAATAAAGAATGATAACAAATGGCAAGACTGCCCAGTACAATCTTTATGAATGTAATATTACCTCCAAGACACAATTGTCACATAGACATGCTTGATGTTTTGGCACCTATAGGTGAAACCAAAATACAAATGAAACTTACCAATTTAGCAATTAAGTGCAGGTGCACAATTTTCCAACATCTCTTGAATTATATCCCCTACCCCAATCATCATACCTTTGGAAAGATCAATCTTCAATCCTGAGAGCATTTCAAAATATTTAAGAAGCTCTAAGGTGTACAGCCTGCTCCACTGACACATCTAAAAAGATCAAGGTATCATCAGCATACTGACAATGAGAAATAACCAGTCCATAATCCATTTATTCCTCCCTTGAATGAGCCAAACAACCAATCAGCCCTAACTCCAGACCTTTCAACAACAGTTTGTTTGGGACTTCAAGGGCTTGTACTCTCGTTTCTTTCTTTTAATACACTTTTATTTAATTATCAAAATAAATGCTAGGTTATACAAAAGTGGGGGATTGGTTGAAACTTGAGAGTTTGAGGAGAGAATCCATAGGTGTATCACCATTGTATCAGAGAGAACAGATCTTCGGTGGCTAAGACAAATACCTCATTCTGCTTGATCAAGAAACCCAGTAATGATTTCAGCTGTGCTTCCTTCCTAAAAACCTTGTCCTCTCCTGCTCAACCTGGGGTACTTTTCCCAGTCCAAGAAGTTTGGTGTCGCCCTATTCCCCCTAAAGTGGGTGCTTTTTGTTGGGAGGTCTACCATGGTGCAATTAACACCTGTGACCTGATGCAGAGGAAGAGGCCTGGCTGGTGCCTTTCACCTAATAGGTGCAGTTTGTGTGAGTCAAGTAGTGAAACTGCTTTTCATATTTTTGTCTCCTGTCCTGTTGCTAGCTGTATTTGGGATTGGTTCTTTTCTCTCTTCGGATGCAGGTGGGATACCCCGGTGAGCTTGAAAAGGTCATTTGACTCGTCCACATTCAGATGGCCAAAAAGAAGAGGCAGAACACTATGGAGATGCACACGGGCAGCAGTGCTTTGGGTGTTATGGGAGGAGAGAAATCTAAGAATTTTTTAAGAGAAGAAAAGGTGCAAGGAAGTGTTGATAGAAGGGATTATGATAAAAGTGACCTCGTGGGTAAAATCTTTGGGATTATTCTCAGATTTTAGTGTAGATGATAATATTCAGGAATTGGAGGACAGTAGCATTCTCTTCATCAGCAAAGAAGAAGGTCTTAAGAAACTGGGGCCCCCCTGATTCTGGTTTCCTCAAATTAAACTTTGATGGAAGCAGCTTTGGTAACCCAGGAATGTCTGGAATTGGAGGGGTGATAAGAAATCACAAGGGGATTGTGGTGGGTTGAATCCAAGCCCTATAGGATGGGGAGATTCCATCACAGCTGAACTAAAGGCAGTGGTTTTGAGGATACAAAAAGCTATGGAACTGGGAGTGAGAATGCTGGTTGTGGAAGGTGACTCCAAAGTGGTTATAAGCTGGCCAAAGCAGAATCAAAAGACTCCCTGGTTCTTCAGAAATGAAATCAAGAAGTTTAAACACCTATCCAAGGATATGCAGTTATTAATTCAGTGGACTCCAAGAGTGGCAAATGGTTTTGCAGATCAGTTAGCGAAACAAGGGGTCAACAGGGAACATTGTTTTTGGGCTCAGTTGTAAGGCTGAAGAGTCAAAGTTGATGGTTGGGAAATTTTAAATACTAGTGGGGTAGCCGAGGCTACTCAGTTTCTGTACTGTTTCTTAATTTCTCTTAATAAAATTCCCTTTACGGATCAAAAAAAAAAATCCAGTAAGGATTTAGCCAACTTTAGCCAAGAGGTAGAAAGCAGTTAGTTGTATAAGGATCTACCCTTCCAAACTAGAGTGTTTTGTGTGCATAAGATGTACAAGGAGGTTCATAAATTCAGCCTAAGGGCTCTTTTTGTTTCTGTTCTTCTCTTTTGTTCTCTTTATTAATGAATTGTTAATAAATTATCTTTGATTTTATTTTGGACGTGTAATGTTTACATGACTATACATAACCAAATCATCCTTAATCAAAAGATAAATAAACAGTAAGCTCAAAGTTTACTACAAAAAGTAAGCCTAAAATTAGAATTAGTAGTAAAATGAAGCACAATGAAAATTAAAAAAAAAAATCCTCATCAAGTGCTCAATCAATAATAAACTGTAAAAGAAATTAGGACTTCTAAAAAAATCCCAATGCAATCAACTATATAAAAAAATAAAAGTTCCTAAAATGCTCAAGGTCCCTTAACAAGGGAGATTTATAATATCCCCCAAAATATATGGCATGTACAATGAGGTTGCACAAGTGGACCCCTAGTCCTTTGTCTGACCCACCTTAAGGAATCTCTGAGATTTTAAATTTCACATTAGCCTTCTTTTGGCTCCATATCAAGTTATTTCAAGGATGACCAGCTCAACCAATTGATCATCTTTACTGACCCTGGAGATACATGAATACAACCATATAACATGCACAAGGGATTAAGGGGTAGTTCCCTTGGCAACTAAAGTTTCCGTGTTTCACCTTCACATTATTGGAAAGAAAAGTCTCAAATAAAAGCAATGTACTACTTACCAAAAACTGGAGAAGATAAGGAATATGAGATTCATGTGGCTGGAAGCTTTTATCTAGAACTGCACCCCCCTTCAAAGCAGAATGAAGATAAAAATAAATATTTGCCTAAGAGTACAGAAAATGTGGAACAAGTAATCTAGAAGATGAAAGATAATAAACTTTTTCTCTTGATGTTCCTTATTCTGATTAATGGCATTGGATCAGAGCAATAGAGTGCAACTTCATCAATGAAATTTCTCTTTCCTCATTCTCCACTAGGGTTGTGACCTCAAAGATATGAACCCTTTCTGCTGCATAACATTTCATACCTGCAATTTGTTGATTTAATTATTTTCCTAACTTTGGTGGTGAGAGGCCCTCTATTTGAGAGCTTTAAAGAGGATTTGGTGACTTCCTGGTAGAAACCAGAATAAAGTTTTGGTCAAGATTCTAGATAGGTATAAAGGTTTGTCAACTTAATAGCAGTGATGATTGACTGTTCAGAAGTTTTCCATGTAAATTATGGGTGGTGAGATGCATGTATTTATGACTTAAAAAATAAAATCAGGTGCCTTGCTGTTAATGGCAAATTCTCCATTCCTTTAAGGCTGTGTGGTATAAGTGTGCGGTTCTCGATGTTTATTTCTAAGATGATCATTACTTAGACTTATTTGGAAGGGATGGCTTCTTCCAGTGGTGAATCAAAACCCGGATAAATGCTGAATCCAGATTACTTAACCATTCAAAAGGCATGAATTAAATTGAATGGTGAAAACTGTATGCCCTGGGAAAAATATGTACAAGTTTTTCTTACAACCAAGGGTGAACAGAAGAAGTATTTAACTAATCCTAACTGGGTAAAATGATGGGGTAAAAGAGAATGCTCAGATAATGTTGACCATTAGAGGTCAACATGTTTTTCGTTCCTCCCCTGTTTACTCTGGCAAAAATAAGGGGAAGGACAATATGGAGATGTGTTAGAGCAGCCTTGGTGTGGACTATCTGAGAAGCAAATGCTAGAATAATTTTAGAAAAAGAGAGGAGCAAAGAAGCTGTTAGGAATTGTGTAATGGTAAGGGTGATCCATTGGATAAGGACTCTGGAATTGTTCTCCCAATTCTCCTTTGATGATGTTTGGAGGGGTATGCAAGTTTCCAACAGCTGCTAACACCTCTGGCGATCTCCAAGAATCAGTCTGCGAACTCCTCCTTTTCAGCTTTCAGTCCTAGGAGATTCTCATGTAGTCAGCTGGTATTAGACTCACATGAAAAACCCTAACTTGGCTCTGATACCATGTAGGTTTTCAGGACTGCTATTCAGTCTTGAACACTAAGAGATTTCAGGTTCGATGAGAAGAGAAAGTGAAGAAGAAGTAGAAGAAAGAGGAACACAGATTTTGAGGAGAAGAACAGAATGTCAATATTCTGCCGCCGCCACTTTAAGTTAATATATATATATGTTATGCTAGTTACATGAAAGGACATATTTGTCCTTGGTGTTTACATCATAACTGCTAACAAATAACAAACAATATAAAATTGAAAGTAGGAATAACAGAATAGCAAAATGACCACAGCTGTGACTAGATACATTCTACCCTACAGACAGAGTGGGACCACAGCTGTGGGGCCCACATCAATGTTCTCTACACTCCCCCTCAAGTTGGGAGTATATGTTCATCATTCCCAACTTGGATAGAACCGCCTCTAGCTTCTTTCTTGATACGGCTTTAGTGAGGATGTCTGCTAGTTGCATACTGGATGTGATGTAAGGGAGGCATACTTCTTGAGATGAGACCCTCTCTCGCACAAAATGGCGGTCAACTTCAATGTGTTTGGTTCTGTCATGTTGTACTGGGTTATGTGCTATATTAATGGTGACTTGATTATCACAGTACAGCATCAGGGGCTTCTCATACTCAATACCCAACTCCTCAAGTAGAGGTCTTAGTCAAAGGACTTCAGCCACTCCATTGGCCATGGACCTGTATTCTGCTTCAGCACTTGACCGGGAGACAACACTTTGTTTCTTACTTCTCCAGGAGACAAGGTTTCCTCCCACAAGGGCACAATATCCTGAGGTAG